GTCTTCAGCTATTAAATAAAGGCTTCAAACTAAGGACCTCAAAGCCGCCCATTTAGGTAAAATCCTGTGATTTGGAGAAATACATGGGCAACAGCAACACTAGAATCTGTGCTATTGGAGTCAGCACCCACCGCCACATGATTTGAGGTCCACTGACATGAGTCTTCTGGCCCGAGCAATGTCAGGTTCACTTGCAGTGATTCCTGCTAAAATGTGTCCACTAAAATAAAAGGGGCATTTAGGCTTGGATCCAATGACAGCCTCGATCTTCATTCACTCAAGATGAGCAGTGACTTGTCTTGAGTCAATCTGCTCCTCTGGCAATGGCTTTCTATAGTTGTCTCTGTCACAGGTTTCCATAGGCTCCATTGTTGGAAGGGACGCGAGGTACCTTCTGGGTGACCTCCCTCAACTTCTATTAATAGGAAATAATAGATAACTTGGACGAACTGGGTGGGGTGTGTGTGAGATAATCAGAACTGCATTCTAGGAAGCTCAATTTAATACCGAATAAGCATTTATATAACACCTACTACATGGCGAGCACTGCGCTAAGCACTTGAGAAATTTCATCATTTGAACTTCACAACAACCCTGTGAGGTAGATGCTGTCATTGCCCCCATTTTGCAATGGAGGAAACTGAGACAAATAGAAGTTAAGTGACCTATTCCAGGGTCACACACACATCCATATCTGAACACACTCCAGGCCCAGAGCTCTTTTCACTGTGCGTGAGTGAGTGGTAAGAGCAGTGAGGCAGCAATGAAGATGGGAGAAGAGGGAGTTCTTGGTGAAATAAGGCCTGAGGTAGGAGAAGGCACAGCCAGTGCAAAGTCCTGGAGACAGGAAGGACGATTTAGCTGGAGTTAAGGGTTCTGGCAGAGTTGGGGTGGGGGATATTTCTTGGAGGCGGCATCTGCTAGTGATTGTTAAAGGGAATTCTCTATCCGAGATCGGGGAGGGTAGTGGATGAGAAGGAAAACCCAGCCGGACCCCAGGTGTCCATCCTCAAACCGTGGGAGGCAGAAGCAGTTACTGACCCTCAATCTCCCTGGTTCCCCCCCCTCCCCTTTCACCTAAAGCCATGGGAGTGATCATCCAATCCAGATCAGTGCAATTTTTTCAAAGGCTGTGGCCATTGCAGCGCTCTGTCCTCACTCATAATCCCAAAGGTTCCAAATGCAGGTTTTGTCTTCTGGTGCCCCCTTCCCAGGCTGTGGTCCTGCTCCCTCATACCCATTACGCCCATCTCCTGCGCCCTGTCCCCCTTCAAAATCTTCTCTCCCCTGCCCTCACCCAGTCTCGATCCCTGGTCTTATGTTCACAAAGGGCATGCCCACAATCGGCTGGGCTGTCGATCCCTGAGGGCCTTTATTATCGTGTGTGGTTTGTATACGACATTTCCTCATTTGTAGGCTGCCTCCTGCCCTCCCCCCTCCCCCCTCCCCCCACCCCCAAGAAATAAGTTCCTCTAGTTGGGCACAGCTTGTCCTTGGATCCCTCCACAGGCACCAGAGCACCAAGGGGGGGGGGGTGGCCAAGGGTAGACAGTAATCACTTAATAAGTGCTAGTTGATTGATTCTGCTGTTACGAGAACTGTTAGACCCGGATTCCCCAGACTTAGGCTTCTCAGGGGCGCAGGGGTAAAGATCCAACTTGGGGTTTCCCAGTATCACTTAGATTTCACCTTGCCCTCTTCAGCCCCCACTGCTATAGCTACGGTGGCCAGGAGGAGATCTCCCAAGTAGCAAACAACACAGCCAAAACCCGAGGCAGCTGGGTGGGGGAGGTATGCAGAAGCGGGACTTGGAAATGGATTGAAATTCAGGGGCTCAGTCTTAGATCCCCCCCATACACCCTCGGGCAATTTTTCCTTCTGTTTCAGGGTCCCAGCCTCCTCTTTGGGAAATTGGCAACTTAGGGGGCACAGTGAAGGGAACACTAACCTGGGAGTTCCAGGGTTCAAACTTTTCTTTGACATTCACTTGTTATGTGACCCTTAAGCAAGTCCCTAGACCTTTTCCAGTCTCAGTCTTCCCATATGTAAAATGGGGATAAGACCTACCTTTCAGGAGGTTTGTATGTGTGAGGCCCAAATGCACAAGTGAAAGTCAAGTGTTTTGCACACTCATATCATCTACTGAACTGGGTCTCCTCAGTGGAGGCAGCCAGGTGGCTCAGTGGATTGAACCCTGGGTCTGGAGTCAGAAAGACCTAAATTCAAATCCAGCCTCAGATGCTTACTAGCTGTGACTGTTCACCTCTGTTCGCTTTGATCCAGTATCTTTGCCAAGAAAATCCCACGGACAATATGGTCTGTGCGGTCATGACTGAACAACTGAACAACAGTAACACTCATCAATGGGGTACCCTTGTTCCTGAGTCTCCTTTTCAGGCAGAAAAAGCTGGAGCAGGGGGTAGGCGACGGTCTCCTCTCCTGGGGCACCCTTCTCCTCTCTGATCCCCTGGCAGATTCAGGGAAGCCCTTCCTCTGAGTACAAGAAGCCCAGCAAGATAGACTGTATGTCCCAGAAGGACAGGACCTAGCCCAGGCCTGGCATTCAGTTGTTTGTCCTTTGTTCTCAAAGAGGAACCATGACATTGCAGAGGTGATGCCATGACATGCAGGTGAACCGGATTTGAAGGAAGCAGGGCAGTGCAAGGTCACCAGCCTCACTTTCTCCTCCGGAGCCCTCTGGGTCCAGTGCCCAGATATGGATCAGGACGACTGAAGAGGGCCCAGGATGCAGCGGGAGACCTTGGCTTTTTCAAGCTAAGGTTGTTCTCAGGTCTTGGTAGACAGAGGTGGCACACATTCAGCAGTTAAGGCTAAGTAAGAAATGAAGCAAACCATAGCCTAGTTTGCCTTCTCAAAGGAATCCATCAGAGAGGGGAAGGCCCCCAGGTGTTCTGGCCAAAACAGAAACAGTTGCCCGTTTATATTCACTCAGAGCCAATGGGGGCCCAAACAATGACCAGGTGGGGCTTAGGCCTGGGACCTATTATCTGCCAATCGATGAGGACAGCCAGAGGATTTGGCTTTTTTTGTTTGTTCTTTTAGGCAATTGGGGTTAAGTGACTTGCCCAGGGTCACACAGTCAGTAAGTGTCAAGCGTTTGGTCTGAGGTCGGATTTGAACTCAGGTCCTCCTGACTTCAGGGCCGGTGCTCTACCGCTGCGCCACCTAGCTGGCCCCAGAGGATTTGGGTTTAAGGATAAATCAATACAGGATAAGTACAAAATCCACCACCAAGCATTTATTGCGTGCCTGAGTCGAGCTGAACATTTTGAACACAAAAGTAGCCGGAAACTGAGCTGGTTCCCAAGGACCATTGCTCCGTAATGGATACAAATGGACTTAAAATCGTTGGAGAAGGCCAATACATTTGCTACTGGGGGAATCCGGGACAGGCTCCCTGAGGGAGGGAGCATTTGAGCTGAGCCCAGAGGTGAGCGGGTAGTGCATGCCAGGCATGGGAATAAAGTCTTTGCACAGTTCCATGGCATCACATCTCCCACCTCCATGGCATTCAGTAGGTGCCCAACTGACCTGGCAGAGTGGATCTGAGAGCAGAGAAGGTGCTTGATCTAGCTCTTCCCCCTCTGATGGGGTTGGGATCTGGGCCCCAAGAAGGAGAAACCCTGGACTTTCCCACCCGGCCAAATCTCTGGCCTTCGCCTGAGGCTATAATCCCTTCAACTGGCCTTTCACTGTGGCTACGCCCAATCTCCCTTCCGTAAGTCTTTGCCTCCCTATGGCCCCAGGCCACTTCCCACCCTTGGTAATTCTATTACCTCATGGACTACCTGGTCACTCCTAGATCCCTCCCACAATCTTTCTGTATAGAAGGTCCACCTTGTCTCCACTAAGATGCTCCGATTCTTATAATCTAGCCACTGCGCACAGTCTGGCCAATGGCCCATAGGTGCTCAGATTCCTTAAGAGTCTGGCTAATATGGCGAATCTTCAATAAACCTTGTTTTTGGCTGCAAGAAGGTTTGGGTCGAATTCTTTCGGGCAGGACCCGCGTGTCCTGATCTGGGGATTCCAGGACCCCTAACCTCTAGACCTCATCACCTCACCACCTCCCTTCTCCGCCTCCAAGAGCCCCAGACCCGGCTGAGCCGAAGGGAGAACCCCATTCTGGGTTCGCCCCCCACCCCCGTGCTCAGGGACCAGGGGAACAAGCAGGGGGAGTGGTCGTTTCCCGGTCCCCCGTGCCTGGGGGGCGGTGGGGCTCGCCCTCGGGCAAATCAGTGCTCAGACCCTACCCCAAGCTCTCCGAGGGCAGGGGGCCAGGCCTCCTGCTATCAGAGCCCCAGTCCCCGAGTCCAAGGACCCCCCTCAGGGTTTACCGAGACACCCATTCCCGCAGCCCCCGAGTGTCCAAGGGGCCCCCCCACCCCGGGCGGCTCCAGAATCCAAAGCTGGGCTGGCTGAGGGGGGGGTGGGGTGGAGGGTGGAGGCCCGAGCGCACCTGCCTCCCCCTCCCCCGGACCAGCCCCGCCAGCTCCCGGGAGGCCTGGGGGAGGGGTCACCGCTTAAAATAGCCCGGCCCCGCGCGGCGGGGGTGGGGGTGGGGCGGTGGTTGTTGTTGTCGCCGCCGCAGTTGCTGCGGGGGGTGGGGGGGGGAGAACGCGTGACCGGCCCCGCCCCCCCACGCGTCCGCCCCGCCCGGCTCCGCCAATCCCCTGCCCGGCAGCCCCTGGCCCAGAGCGAGCAGTGCGGGCGGCGTTCGCGGCCCTCCCGGGAGAGACAGACCGCGGCGGGCTCGGCGGAGTCAGTGTCGGGGTCACGGTCAGTGTCGGCGGCTACGCCGGCTGCAGCCCGGCCCCCTCCGACGTCATCGCGGCCCAGGGGCGGCCGCTGCAGCTGCAGCACCGGCAGACGCGGCCGCGGCGACCCCCGCGGACCCCCGCGGACCCCCGCGGACCCCCACAGTCCGCAGCCGCCCCGGCCAGGCCAGGCTCCCCGCCAGAAAGCCGCAGACCCAGGCCATGGAGCAGAGCGGGCAGCCCCCGCCCCCGCCCCCGCCCCCGCCCGAGGAGAACCTGCAGGGTGAGTGCCAGACTGGGTCCTGAGCCCTGCCCCCCCC